GATTTGACTTTAAGGTATATATGCTATTTTTTTGAGATGACGCATATATAGTAATAAAGTATTTCTGCGATAAAGTATACAGAAGTATAGACTACTAAAAATAAAAACTATAAAAATATGAGCATTTGTGTCATCATAGTCAAGAATCAAGAAGAACGTTTACAGTCGTTATGACTGTGGTTATGAGGAGCTTTCAATTTATTAGTTTGTATATCTTATTTACCATTTAAACTTCTATGAATGTGAAAGACATTAGAAACAGGAAAGAACATTTATAGAAAGAACAAAAATACTCTCAGTAGCAAACAAATACGCCAAGAATTTATAAGTTTTTGCAATTTTTACGAAAAAAGTTGCATAACCAATTCTCATTACGAATCAGTTAACCTTTATCATAGAAACTTCCTTTAAAGTTTCTTTATTTCACTGGTCTAAAGGGTGCCCCCACTCCACTATGACCATGAAGAGCTTTCAATTTCTCAGATTATTTTTACACTTAATAGCAGAGAAGCTTAAGATACACAACAACTCGACAGATAATTCAGTAAGACTACTTACCCTAATCTTAGTAACAGTTTATTCCCATTTTCATAGCAGGTGAAATTTTTTTAGAATTTTTAATATTTCGTTTCCTTTGTCTTGTTGTTTTTTGTTCCTTTTTATTGGAGATATTTTTCGTTTAAAAAGGAGTTTTTTTTTTAAAAAAACCTATTCATATATACCTATAAAAAACACATTTTACCTTACCATAACTAGCAATCAAATACTTCGATCATTCATTATGAGTTACATCACGTATTGAGGATACACATGTGATTAGAAGTAATTTACTTATAGAAAGATAGTTGAATATAATGTAACATAATTTTTTATTGTCTAGTTTACTCAGTTTTTGGTTTCTTTTTTTTAAAAAAAAAAGAATAGTTCAAGATGAAGAATGAAGTATAAAGTGGTTGATATCAAAAAAATTTGAGGTATTAAATTACTTGGATGATTATTGATTTTAGTTAAAATTGTTTCATAAAGTTTTATTATTATCAACTGAATATCAATTGATATCTCAAATTACAAAAATTCATGATATGAATTTTGTTATGATTTTATGCTAATAATTGATACTTGAGGGATTATCTAAGGAACAAAGATAAACTTCAGATATATTTACACTCAGAAAATATAATTCCCCGTGATCTGGTAAATAAAAAAATCATTTTTAATTCAATTGATGGTTTGCATCTTCTACAGGAAATATATTTGTATATGACATTAAATTAATGATCACCAGAACTGAGTTAAATTCAATTGTTGTCTGAAGGGCTAATTAGTCTTAGATTCTCAGAACGTCATATATCAACTCTTCTATCAAATAATTTGATTGATTAAACTAACTTTAATTCCTAAAATAAAAATATATACAAATATATTATTATATGTGTAACACGTCTAATATATAGCTATTTAACAATTTTTTAGTAATATTTATATGGTGCAGGAAGTCTATACTCAACAATATAAATGTAATACTTAAAATCTTTCAACTTTTTAAAAAAAATAAAATTTAGAAAATATAAACTGGTAACTTTATTCTTTGAGATAAGCTCTATTAAATTATCAGTCAGTTTTTCAAAATAAGTTCTATATAAAAATTTATAGACATTTAAATTGGATAATTTTCATATGATCATTCTAAATTTGAAACATATATTATTGATTGAAATTTATGATAATTCGAGCTGGCATTATGGTAATTAATCATAATATCAGCCCAAATTATTATAATTTTAAAATGATACACAAAAAAAATGATTAATATCTCATTTTTCATTAGTCAATTAATAATCACGTGATATAAAATTCACTAAAAATTTTGAAACATTATTGAGTTAAGACTTTCAGCACCATATGTATATTATATATTTATTATATTCAGATTAATCTTAATACAATTAGCAAATTATTGTCATATTAATAATCTTCTATTTCGGTAGACTTTCTTTTGCCTTTTCGATTAGTAGTAGCTCTTTCCTAATGTTAGTTATAATATACAATAATATTGGTTCTCAAATATAAAAATATGAAACGAATTATTTCACTTACTTCAGATTTTGTCGTGAAAAATTTGTTCATTTTGTCAAATTACATTTCGTTCATTCTAACCGATACCATAGTAGATAATTCATTTTTCATCATAATCTTCAATCTCTTCTGCGAAGAACAGATTGGTTAAATAGTCTTTATCATTCATATTATCTTCTGCATCAAAATAATCATAATTAATAAATTTATTCATCTTATTTGTTTTATCCGTTTCGTAATATTTGTTATTATTGTTTGCCTATTCAGGCACATTTTGAGTGGTTTACTTGAGGTAAAGTACATCTCATCATTATATATGCATTCCCGTTGTTTCTTGTTATAAACCTGCTGTTCGGCCATCGGATCTAATACACCTTAAAGCAATGACTTTAACTATCAAAAGCAAAGATTAAAATAAAGTTGAATAAATATTATATGAACATATATTATAAAATAATATCTACCTTTCGTGAGCATCACAAATGATCATAAACGTGAAAAAATTTCTTTTTTTCAGAGTTCCTTGTATAATATTCGTCTTCTGAATCAAATTGTTCAGCGAGTGATAATCGTTTTGTTGTAGAATAGATATGACTTCGTTCTTGTTAAATCCTTGAACACTTTTATCATGCATCTTAAACAAATTAAATACCGCTTTTATTCGTCTATTTACCTCAGCAAGACGAGTATTAGCATGTAACCTTCTATCGACTTTTTCTAATGTTCTAGCTTATCTTTTCTTTAATATATTTCTACGGTGTTTGTGAATAGCTTTAAGCCAATTAGACAATTGAGTGACTGATAGATTGAAGACACCTTCCATCATTCTCTTCAATTCTAAGATCAAATTCTCGTATATAGTTATCACTTGTTCAGAGAATGTTTTCTCATAATTCAGTTGATATTCAACCGGTATCTGTTATTTAATCAGGTTTTTCATCTCAGCCTATAGCAAAAAAGTTACATGTAATATATATTTAAATAATTAAACTGGTCATATATTAAAAAATACTTACTCTAACTGCTGTAGTATTAGATTCATTTAGCGATATTAGTCTGTTTACATTTGGCATCCTTGGTAACTCATGAGGATTATTTTCAGAAACCCAAACTTTGCGAATTCTGTTTTTAATTTGTTATTTTCAGCTATTAGCTTGTCATTTTCATTTCCAAATTGTTCATTAAAGGTTCAAATTATAGAGTTTTTTTCTTCTAATAACTGAATCCTTTCTTCTAGATTCTTCATATTTTTTCTTAATTTAACTTCTATTTCTTATTATTATTGCATTTTGGCTTATAAATGAATGTTTTCCTTTTTTGAATTCTCTATTTCCAGATTATCTGTTTGAATTATTTAGTTTTTATACTTAAAAACAGATATAATTTAATAAACATCACAACAAAATTGATTTAATTATTATCATGTTTATTATTAATTGACCTTAGGATTCTAATATTCAGATATCTCTCGATTAGCTCTCCAGATTGACATGTTGGAGTGGTTATTTGAAGTGCTGTAGGTGTTACCACAGTTACCAGATGAATCAACGCAGTTATTGGCCAAGCTGTTACTGAGCGAACTGAAAAGGTTATTGAGGTTAAGCGAACTGGAGTAGTTGTTTGAAGTGCTGTAGGATGTTCTAATACAGTTGGACAAACTTAAGAACATATTGCTGTAGTTGCCAGGTGAACTTAAGAATATGTTGTTGCAGTTACTGGGTGAACTGATGCAGTTATTAGCTGAGCTGTTACTAGACAAACTGGTATAGGCGAAGGTTGTTGAACCAGTATAGGTTTATTTAACAGGTTTTGGTGATGAAATTTATGGAGTAGTTGAAATTTTACTCAACCTTGTATAATAATATTTTTTTGGTAATTCCATATTAGAAATGTTATCGTTTGTGAGAAAAAACATATTTGACATAGAAAATTCAACTTATATTTATATTGTTCTTTGTCATTAATCATAATATTTAAAGATTTCAGTAAATTCAACTTATATTGATCATGATTTAAT